AGGGGAGGAAAAAGGAACAAAAACAAAGAATATTAATAATAAAATATAAATATATCATTGTTTTTGCTGTTAATTATTAATTAGGTTTGTTTAACGCTGACTGCTCAAAGGATGAAGATTAAGAATTGTCTTGTGCGTAATTTAGAAGCAGTGGAGACATTAGGATCAACCTCTGTTATATGTTCAGATAAAACTGGGACACTCACTCAAAACAGAATGACAGTTGGTTAGTGAACCATTACATGTGCTAATGTAGCTGGAATTGTTTTACTTTTTTACATTTAAATACTTGTACTATAGCTCACATGTGGTATGATGGTAAAGTGTTTGGTGCTAATACAGATGAGACTCCAAATAACCCACTGATAACTAGAAGAGTAAGAATATCATTATTATTACTATTATTATTATTATTATAACTAAAAGAAGGAAAAAAAAGCAAAACAAAAAAAACCACAAGGATGTTATTATCATTATCATTATTATTATCATTATCAATATACATGCTATGTACATTTATGTATAGGATATGACTCCAACATGGAATTATTTAGCAAACATCATTGGTCTATGTAACAGAGCTTATTTTAAGGAAAATCAAACTGGAATTAATATACTAGACAAGTTAGAACATTCAAATTAGAGTATACTAGTATACTATACAGTATTGTAGTATTATGATAGTATTAGTGTGTATTGTAGGTGTATTTATATTGTGTTGTGTTACATTAGAGAGTGTATTGGTGACGCGTCTGAGTCAGCTTTATTGAAGTGTTATGAGTTGGAGGTCGGAAGTGCTCTAGTTTTACGAAATAAGTATATCAAGAAATCTGAAATACCTTTCAACTCTACCAACAAATTTCAAGTACATTTTATTTATTTATCTATTTATTTATTTATTTATTTATTTATTTCCTCATCAGGTATCTGTACATGATGATCCTGAAACTGATGGTCATTTACTAGTAATGAAAGGTTTAATTAATTTATTTATTTATGACTAATTAATTAAGTAATTAAAGGGGCACCTGAAAGGATATTGTCTCGTTGTACAACATATTTATTAGATGGAGAGGTAAATTAAGTTTATTTGTTTTTATTGTTGTTGTTGTTATTGTTGTGTTGTTGTTGTTGTGTATTGTTGTTGTTGTGTGTTGTTGTTGTTTTAGGAGATGCAGGTTACTAATGACTTTAGTAAGGATTTTAATGATGCTTATATGGAGTTAGGCGGAATGGGAGAAAGAGTTTTAGGGTATAACAATAACAAAGTTTTTATTATAATAATTATAGTACTAATAAAAAGGTTTTTATGATAATAATAAATTTTTTAATAGTTTCTGCATGTTACAGTTACCTGGTGAGACATTTCCGAAAGGTTTTGAATTCAACAACGAAGAGGTAATTAATAATAATCAACTTTAATAATTTATTATTATTATTATTATTGATAGGTTAATTTTCCATTGGAGGGTCTGTGTTTCGTTGGTTTGGTCTCAATGTTAGATCCTCCGCGGTCCAATGTACCGTTAGCCGTTAGTAAGTGCCGGACCGCGGGTATTAAAGTGATAATGGTCACTGGCGATCACCCTATCACTGCTAAAGCCATTGCCAAATCAGTCGGAATCATAAGTGAAGGTATTTATTATACAGCTACATGTATACAGTATAATGCTTTTTGGAGCCAATTTATGAAAAAATCTTTTTGTACATGTAAGATGTACATGTACATGTAGCTCAAAGAACTTTTTGCACTGAATATTGTATGTAAAGTACATGTACATTATCAAGATTAAGAATACATCATTACTCTTGACATTGTGTATATAATGTACATCTTGTTGTAGGTAGTTTGACTCCTGAAGATGTTGCTGAAGCCGAGACTATAACAATAAATGAGATAAGAGCAAAGTAACACCATAAACTGTCAAATTTACCTTGAATTTCACCTCAACACTTGTTGTACCCACACACACACACACATACATTGTACATACATACACTGTACATACATAATGACATGGTCACAC